TCAATCTCCCTTTTCAGTTGCTTGGTCTTTCAGGCAGGAAAGAACTTTTTCAAAAACTTGGTTGCCAACTGCTCCCATGATTGAATTGATCCTGATTCCAAAGAATTATACCACAATTTAGCATTAGATTTCAATGAAAACGGAAACAAAATTAACCTGATTTGTTTGGGAGTAAGGCCTTGAACACCCTGTGTTCTGCAAGATTAAAGAAATCTATCAAGTGAAGATGAGGATCTTCCTCTGCTTTGCCACTAAAATGGGGAACCATGCTAAGCATCTGCAGTGATAGATGCATGTTCCCTTCAACATTAGGTTGGAGGGCAATACAAGATGGAAATTCGATGTTCTTAGGCTGGAACTTATCCTGCATTGGGACTCTAGGTTTGACTATTTCGTCAACCAATTTTGGTTTGGACTTAGCTCGCTGCCCGCACGCTTGTTTCAAATTGCGTAAAGTACGCTCAAGCTCATGGTCAATGGGAAGAATCGCTAGATGGAGTAAGTGTCTTCCTTGCATGCACTGTAAACCCAACAAAGAAACTTTAGTAACTACCCACAAAAGATTATGCAATAAGATAAAGAAAAAAAATTGATAAATAACTAAAAGGAATTAAAATAAAAATGATAACTCCTAAACTACGACTAACTAAGAAGAGAAGGGAAAATAAATGACATTAGAAATACAAATTCTATACACCGATTAGAGGACAATCCCCGGCAACGGCACCAAAAACTTGTTATGCATTTAGCAACCTAGATATTAAGCCACTAATTGCACGTTTTAAACTCGCAAGTGCACAAGATCAAACACATAGTATAGAAAGTAAGTACAAGATCATTCCCACGAGGATTGCACTAATATGTATCTAGAGTATGATTCCTAACAATTTAAATTAATTAATTCACAAAACTAGCAAATATGCAAGTAAAGGTTTAACAAAGTAGTTTGAGATGTCTTAAGTATAAAAGCACAATATAAGAATGTAGGCATATAAATGTAATTGGCAACAAGGGTTTTGAAAACGATGTTTGAACGGTTGGGACTTTGACTTCCATCTCTAACCTTTTTCGCCTAAGCAAACGATACACACTATGATACCAAACAGATTTTTGATGCTTTACATTTGTCAACCTAAAGGCATGGTATCTACTCTTTAAGCTATTGATTTCCCTAACAACGAATTAGGCATGGGTGTCTACACTAACTCTTTTCATTCTCGAAGTATTTAGCATGGTATCTACTAAGTTGCACTCCGAGAAAGCATAATACAATGGAAATCGACAAACACACGAATCCTAGAACATGGTATCTATTCCAGTTAATCGTGATAATTAATTCCAAGAACCGTAACTAGTTCTCTTGTTACTCGGCATAGGAACAAGACTCGATCATCCAAATTTACCCATGTAACATACTCAATTACAAAGCTATTCTATGGTGATCAATCATAAAATAACTCAATAAGATTGGAATTAAAACTAGAATTAATCACTAAAGCATCAACAAATTGTCTTGTAACAAAAGTGTATCGAAAATACTCAAGGAAACATGATTAGGACTTCAACCAAGTCCCAACTATGAAATTTAGTTACTCATAATCTAAAATGGGCAGTAAAGACAAACAAAACACATATATAATGTAAAACCTATATAGAAGAGTAAAACAAAGGTGTAAACAAGGAGAATTATTATATATATAATAGCGAATTTATGAGCATAACCCCCAGACTTATTGATTGCTGAACAACAAGGTTTTGCACCTTTGCAAGGGGACACCGTAAAAATATTGGCTTCCATACTTACACCGCCTCTCTGCCCATCAGCACTATCTTCAAAATTCAGAGTTTCAGTTCTCCTGTATGGATTGGCAGGAGAGTTTGATTTTTCCTTTTGTAGTTTTATTTTTCATGGTGGCTTTGATGACGAGGTTATTAAGAACTATGACGGTTTGATCCTTCTGCATTGGCACAAGGTATGTAGGCAATCTAGCTGGGTAGATGCAATCAATCTCTTTTTGCTGGTGCTCTTGTTTATGATTCGTGCAACGGTTCATAGAAATGAAACGACGATCCGGAATTCGTTAATTTCACTAGGTATGGTCCTAAACAAATTCTTTTATTTTTAGTTTATAGTTTTCAAACAATGTTATTAGAGTCATGGTGCTCGTTTCTCAACTTACAATCCAATGTAAAGAGCTGGAACCACGATATCTACCATGGTTGCATAAAATCGAAAAAAAATCACATTTGGATTCGTTACGTTTTTCGAGGATTTGATTTTAGAAATAGGTTTTCATAATTGTGAGAAAAATTCCCTCTAAATTTCATGCAAAGATGTCCTATGGTTTGAGAGAAAATTAAAAAAAAAACAAAAAAACCTAGTTTTGTGATATCTTGAAATTTCAGTTTTTTAGCCGTTTTGGGGGCTGAATTTAGGGTAAATGGAATTGAACTTTTTGTGATTTTTTGCTTCGAATTTGTTGTCTACCATTTGAGCTTCAAACCATATAAAACATACATCACTTAGATGAGTATTAAAGAAGATATGGCTTGCAAAATCCCTTTGCAACTCTGCGATATTTGGAATTTTGCCAGAAAAATTGTAGAAAATGGGGAACAGCGATTGTTCATCACTCTCGGCTACGGCTAGAGTGTTACTTTCCCAATTAAACCGCAACTTAAAATAATGAACAAGACATAATATGTTTTCCCAATTATATATCCTTAAGGCTTGGCTGTTTGGGTTTTATCCCACCGCCAAGCCCACTCACTTACCCACTTTGTATTTGTGACTTGGATCTCTTTTATTTAAATAAAAGCCTAATGCCTATCTAATTTAAACCATGTCCATAAACCCAAATAAGTAATCAAATATAGTTAACAATTAATTATATCTAATCATCGTCCATATAACGTTACTAGAATTTATTACATGTGAGTGACCTCTTAGATTCTAACTAAGCCGACAGTGAAATTAATTAACGAATTAATTTAAATCCACAAATCATAAGCGGCACCTTGCAACATGTCATGGCTACTCAGATTAGTAGAAGTATATGCGAACTAATCATGATACTCTTTTGAACCTTAATTGTAGTTACAATGCAAATCAGTTCTTCTATCATCCATACCCCGATCAAGATTTATGTGTTATTGAATGATGTCTAATCACATATAGTCATCTCTGATCGCGATGAGACATCTCATGTTTGCAAACATAATTTGATCAATAGTTACTCTGGTCACATATTTCAAGGATGAATCTTCAAGTGGCTTCGAGGGATATCTTCTTATATTTAACAATTACCAAAAGGTGGTAGATTCCTTATTACACATTCATGTACCATCATACTTACACATCGGACCCTACAATCTCATTGAAGGCTCAAGGTGAAATCAACGTTCATATCTACAAATATAAGATACCTGTGATACCTCAGATCTAAAAACTATTTGCATACTACGTTAAGAAGCTTTGTAACGTTTGACATGTGGTAAGCGGATTCTTCCCCCAACTAAAGAAGAGATCTTGGCGGAATTTCCGCATATGAAATTGAGCACAATTTTGCATAGCCCACTTGTTTCTCGAGAAGAGATGGGAAACATGCTCAATTTCATTTGATTGAATAGTTGACCCAGCTCCTTGTTGTTTGAAGAAACCCTCCGCTTCAATTGGTATTACCATTTTCTTCATCTCGTTGAGAAGTATGATTTTCGTTTTTGAATCACTTAATTTCGTTGAGTATTGAAGAAGTTATGAACGTTTAAAGTTCACCCAATTTTTGGCGAGTTATCAAGTTTTCCCTCGATCAGTCAACTTTACTCTAATTAATATCGAGACATTTTGTGATTAAACCCCACACATGTCGGACTGTGTAAGTTGTAATTAACAAGTTGGGGAAAATATCGGTGTTGTTGGAAATGGGTCGTTGGCCCGTTTCTCTAATAATTTGATAGTTCACAGAAAGAACCACTATCCGTTTTCCGGCCATCTCCGGCAACCATTGGGCTTCCAAATAGGTATAATCTTATTCTACACTTTCCTATCTTCATTTTGATATATTATGGGTCGAATTTGGTTAATAAACAATTGAGTTACGAAGCTTTGAAAATTGCCTAAACTTCCGGCCAAGAGCTCCAAGACACTTAATGGAGTTTTTAATTGAATGACCAAAATGATGGATAGTGGACAATCTCAGTGACCACTTTTATTGATTTGGAATCTCAGAAACCAAAGTAATGAGTTATGCAAATCTTAGAGACCATTTTGGCTATTTAGCCTTTGAAAAATTATACAATTCCAATGTAATCTAACATGATTCGATTTGCACCAGATTTGGAGTGTTTCAAAGAAAAGGGTACATTTGATCGGGAGAAATACCGATGAACGATTTGACAGGGTAAATTCATCCTTTGCTCAATAACAAAAGAAAATTTCAAAATACCATTTATTTCTATTAGACATGTATTGGATATTGCAAATGTCATATAACTAGAAACACATGGCTTCTGATAGCATTTAATAGTTAACCACTTTTTCTTTTGCGCACTCTGTCCTGCGTATTCACACGTCTGCTTTTCTCCTGCAGTTTGGTTTATCGCAAATACATCCCAGGCTGAAGCAGTAAGATCATTTACATATTTAAGAAGAATGATAAGATCTTTAGGGCTGAAAATTGGAGTAACTTCATTCCTTTTGTTAAAAAGATGAGCACAAATTGGTAAAGAAGCCAAAAAAACCCAGCTTACCAGTAAGTTTATTGGACTACCTAGAGGAACAGCCGCACTACCCTATAATTTTGTGTAAAGGGCATGTGTAGAAGTTTGTAACTTCCTGACATGTAGACTGAAATAACTTTGTGTTCCCATGACAGGCGTTCTTGAGCTGGAAGTGTAAATTTTTAAAACGGATTTGGTTGGCCGTAGAAACTAAATGCTTTACTACCAAATATGGGAAGAATAATTGGAATTGCAATTTTCGTACTACTGGTCTCATTGCATTGACAAATCCAGGTACGGCATTTCAATTTTAGGAATATCATCATATTCTCATAACCGTCACTATGAGAAAATAATGTAGTCTTTGCAGATTGAAAACAACAATAAGAAAATGGATCCGAAAATATAGCGAACAAAAAGAACTAAGAGTTCACTCCTCCACAGTCCTTCAAGTACTTAGTCTTGATTTTGGTGAGTGTGATTGCGGCATCTTTCATGTTAATCCTCTGTCCCGGCAATGCTGCAGAGCATGCTAAAGCTAATCTCATAACAGAAGATAAGCAATCCCTCCTGCTCACAAAATCACCATCTTCCTCCGCCCCAAGTATATCGGCATCCACAACTTCACCTATTGCAACATCTGGAAATAATGAATCTGCAATCCAATGCTTTAAATCCATTTCCCCAACAAACATCTCGTATGTTGGCTTCCTTTTTGTGAATGTCTCCATAAGTACAATACCAAAACTATACACATCCCCTCTTGTCGAAACGCTTCCTTCCATCCCAAACTCTGCAAAATTTAAAAAGAAAATTATAACTCCTAATAAAACCAACATATACAAAATTGAGAAAATACAGCACCTGGAGCCATATATCCAACTGTGGCTAGGGTCATGGTTTCTGTCACCGAATCTCCATTGCCGATGAGTCTTGCAATGCCAAAATCAGCAACATGTGCAACCATATCATCATCTAGTAGTATATTGCTTGGTTTCACATCACAATGAACGATAGGTATCAAGTAACCATGATGAAGATATTCTAGTGCCAATGCAACATCTTTCTTTATGTCTAACCCCTGCAGGATAGTCATGGAGCGGTTTGGAGAATACAACCACTTTTCGAGGCTTCCATTAGGCATCAATTGAAGTATCAAGGCTTTGAAATCAAGTTCATCGCAGCAACTTATGATTTTAATAAGATTCCGGTGACGGATATTGCTTAGCATTTCACATTCCTTATCAAAACTCTTGAATGCCCTTTCTAGCTGTAAATTGAAAACCTTGACGGCGATACCATCTTCCGTTCTCGATCAAATCTTTATGTACTCAACCAGCTCAAATAAATTCCCTACAAAAATAAATTGTAAATAAAAATTAAACATAAGTGGAGAAAATAAAAATATTAGAAGCAAGAAAAACTTACTGTTGTGAATAAGGAACAAATGAAGTAGAAAGAACAAATAAGAAAGATGCAAGAGAGAACACATGGAGGGTTTGAAATTGGAAGAACGAATAAGAAAAATGAAAGAGAGGAAGAAGAAAACATCGGGGGAAGTATATAAAGACCATTTTCTGTCGCTTACAACCGACACCAGATTTTAAAATATTTATAAAAACTAAAATCTATGTTGCACAGAACCGACGCAGGCTTTAAAATATTTAAAAAATTAAGGACTAGTTTGTGTGGCGTCGAAATAAGGACAAGTTTGCGTCGGTTAAAACCGACGTTTCCCCGACAGACTTGACAGTCGTAACAGGCGGCCTCGAAATAGGACAAGTTTGCGTCAATTCAAACTGACGTGAGCCTAACATGTTAGTGCACTTGGATGTGACGTCGAAATAAGGAAGCTTTTGCAACACTGATTGAAAAAGCTCTCATACTTTATGTCGCTTAAAAGCGACACCAGTATTTAAAAATATTAAAATGTATATTTACTTCGGTTTAAAAACGACACTAGTATTTAAAAATATTAAAATATAAGTTTACGTCGGTTTCAAAGTGACACTAGTATTTAAAATATTAAAATGTATGTTTACGTCGGTTTAAAAGCGACACAAGTACTTTATGGCGCTTATAAGCAACAGTAAATACGACGTGATGTTCAGTTAGTGTCGCAACTGTCTTTTCCAAAACTATATTAAATTAAACCGACACCACCTACTGACACTATAAGACCATTTTGTAGTAGTGTGTGTGGGTTCCACATACAAACTAACATAATTGTTGACAGAATTTTAACGGAATGACCAAATTGATGTGGGATAGTGAATGTCAAGGATGACATTGATTGATTTTGAAAGTGAGGGGCCAAAATGATGAGTTTGATCAATCTCAGGAACCATTTGTAATAAAAACCCAATTAAAATTGCATAATTAATAAGAACAACAACCAAACTTAGATTGACAAATTCCAAATTTCCGAGCAAACATAAAGATGATCTTACAAATTAAGATCATTTACAAAACATACAAAATGAAATTGCAAAACGGGAAAATCCACCTCGTCATCATTCAGAAGATCACCATGCAAAGTTCAAGCACTGTCATGGGATTTTATTTAACGATAACAGGGTATTATTACTCACTACTTGGGTCGTCATCACGGGTTCTCTCTAGACATCCTAGTTCCAGTTAGCACATCCCTTATTAGACTCAATTTAGCTACCACATTGCTCATGTCTTTTCGCTCTCTCGGCATCGCTACGGAACAAGAAACTCCTACTCTTGCAATGGAAGTCAAGCACTCAACAACCGTTCTTCTTCGATCATTTGGGGCATGATTCCCCCTATTACTTATGGGATTAGTACTGCTGCTACTTTCTTCTATTTGAACAATTAGTGGATCACATATTTCTCCCACATGTTCTGGTAGAGCCATCATAACAAAATTGTGCAGGTCCATACCACCTTTAAACATGTCATCTGTCGGCCTCTTGCCAGTTAACATCTCTAACAACAGTATTCCGTAGCTATACACGTCGCCATATGTTGACACCTCGCCTCCCATTCCATACTCTTAAGTTATATGCACAAAAACATGGCTTTGTTCTTATGTGTGACTTCAAAAAGCTCATGCTATATACAAAACCATACTGCAAACACAAATAAAATATATACAAAAGAAAATTTACCTGGTGGAGTATAGCCTATGGTGCCTTTTATGACATTGGAACTGCTATCGTGCAAAGGAGATGGGCAAGAATCCCGGAGGTACCTTGCTAAACCGAAATCACCAACACAAGCAGTCATGTCACTGTCTAACAAAATGTTGCTTGGCTTTATATCACAATGAACTATTGGCATGTGAGAGCGGTTGTGCAAATAATCCAGAGCACACGCTACATCGATGGCAATGTTAACTCTTTGAGTGAGATTCAGATTCTTCGGCAGATTGGCTGGCCTATCTACTCCTTGAGCTGATATGTGCAGCCACTCATCTAGGCTTCCATTCACCATGAACTCATACACCAAGGCTTTGAAATCGTTTCCTTGAAAATCAATGCTTGAACAAGCAGTCAGTAGCTTGACAAGATTTCGATGCCTAATGCTTTTCAAGGCTTCACATTCAGATATGAAACTTTTAGAAGCTCTTGAAGTTTGAAGATTGAGTACTTTCACTGCAACATTTCTTTCTTCAAGCTGATTGAGAATTCCCTTGTACACGGACCCGAAACTTCCGGCACCAATCAGATTCGAAGCAGAGAACCCATCAGTTGCTTTGAGGAGATTTCCATAGGACAGTTTCAATAGTGAAACCCCCAGTGACGATCCTGAAGTTGACTTAAGCGCTCTAGCCTTTCTTGATCGATAAAGAAGCGCAAGTAACAACGCCAAGACCAAGCCGACAACCCCACAGGGAACTAAGATAATTAAGTTCAGCTTAAGAGATAACCCGCGCTTAGATTGCTTGGAGATGCATTTAGGCAATCTTAAGTGAGGTATACCTCCACAAAGCCGTGTGTTTCCCACAACAGATACTGCACTTGCATTCTTAAAAACTCCTTGGATTGGTACTGCACCTACAAAATCGTTAAATGAAAGGTTCAAATTCTGCAAGAAGGGGAAACTCCCCAAGTAGTTGGGAATTATGCCGGACAAGTTGTTGCGCGAGAGGTCAAAATCTTCAATTCCTTTCAAAGAGCTCAAGGATTTAGGAATTGTCCCCTGCAATAAATTTTCTCTCAGAGACAAGGTCGTCAAACTTGTGCAACTCCCTAAGCTTTGTGGAATCTCACCAGATAACTTGTTTTCAGAAACATCCAAGGAAACAAGATGCTCTATGTTACCTACTTCCATGGGGATGGATCCAGTAAGCTGATTGCTGGATAGATCCAACAAATATAGCAATGATAATAAACCGATGACTTGTTTTGGAATTGGACCACTAAGATTATTTTGAGAAAGACTCAAAGCTAATAGATTCTTGCATTCTCCAAGACTTTGTGGTATGCTGCCTTGTAACTGGTTTGAGTTGAGAAAGAATCTGCCTAATGAAGTTAGATTTCCTAGGGAAGATGGGATGGCACCTGCCAAATCATTAGAATTTAAAACCAGATCTCCCAGCTTATTCAATTTACCTATCGAACTTGGTAAAGTACCTGTCAAAAGGTTGTCGTTAAAGTATAGTGTCTCCAAGTTGATGAGATTTCCAACCCTAACAGGAATGTTTCCGTGTATCTGATTCTCATCAAAATATATTCCCCTGAGCTTCGTTGAGAGATTGCTAATAGATTCAGTTAGCACTCCTCCAAAATTATTGGCACTGATAGATAAAATTTGTAAATTGGTGCAATTAACTAGAGAAGAGACGAAATCCAACTCACCTTCCACATTATTTCCAAGGTTGTTATGATTAATTGCAAACCAATACAAATTTGACAGGTGTGCCAGATTAGGCACTTTCCCAGTAAACTTATTGTGTGAGATACAAAATAGTGAAAGGTTTGAGGCATTGGAGATTGAAGCTGGTACTGGTCCAGTGAATTGGTTGGTATGGAAATTAAAGATTTCGAGGTTTGAAAACATAGTGTGGCCCAAGCCAGGAGGAAAAGTTCCATGAAGGTTGTTTCTATGCATATAAATGAATTTAATTGACGAGAGGTGGTATATGGAGGGAGGGATGGTACCATTCAAATAATTTGCAGACAGTGCAAAAAAAGTCAAGCTTTTCAACTGGCCAAGGCTATTCGGAATACCTCCATGCAGATTATTATGTGATGCAGATAGTACTTCAAGAGAAGAAAGATTCCCAAAAGAAGGTGGGATTTTCCCATGAAAATTGTTCCTGCCTAACTTAAGTAGCCGAAGCTTGGACAATGAGGCAATTTCAGTTGGAAGTTTGCCACTAAGAGTGTTGCGATATAAGTTAAGGTATTGGAGGTTAGAGCAACGTGATATGTTGAATGGAATATGACCACTGAAGGAGTTGTTATGAAGGCGTAGTCTTTCCAAGCGGAACAAACGACCAATTTCTGGAGGAATGGTGTGGCTGAAGCTATTGTTTTGGAGGTTTAAAGCCCTCAGAAAGCTCAAGTTTCCAATGTGGGGAGATAGGTGGCCTGCCATCCCGCTTGATCGGAGGTCGAGCACTGTAACTCTCTGGTGTCTGCGGCCACAAGTGATGCCTGGCCAACGACAGAAGTGGAGGGATTCATTCCAAGAGCTAAGGATGCCGAGGGTATCAGTCACGATTTCAGCTTTGAAGGCAAGCAAGGAAAGCCTATCCACCTCATTCCCCGCTAAACGCGAGGAGGCAGAGCTAAAAAGAAAGAGAAGAAAGATTGGTTGGGTGAAAATAAACCAAATGCTAATATGAATGCTTGAGAACTCCATTTTAGCTAGGCTGCAAAATGAAGCTCTGGATATTTAACCTTAGGTAATCGTAAGTTGACGCAAAGAGAGGAGTCAATTTTAGCGTCCAAATTGGGTTGCACGGCTGGTTTCTGCGTGCCTGCCGTGGTTGACGGGTTGGGGAACACAACACATAGCTTTTGACGTTTTACGTTAGAATTATCATAAAAAGCAGAAAGTAAAAGGTTCATGCAAAGTAGGTAAATGCAAAGTAGGTAAGGCTAGAAAACGTGCAATGTAGGTAAGACTATAAAAAGTGCCCGTAAGTATGTAAGACTCGAAAAAGTGCCCGGACGTTGCCGTAGGTCTTTAAAATATTTTGCACTCGCAATAATTCTTAATTAAAAAATGCTACTCTTATCAAAATTTTCATACAATATTTGTATCAATAAAGGAAGGGCTAACTCTGTCAAAAATGCTAATCGTACCACACTCTTTAATAGAGATAAGACCTACATGTGTTGGTGGATCAACCTCTATTAAAAAAACGGTAGAAATAATAATACAAATATGTGATAAACTTACACGTTGGTTCTTGACGGAAAAAAATAATAAGGACTTTGACATTTTACATTAGAATTATCATAAAAAGCAGAAAGTAAAACGTAGAGACCCACTAGCTAGTTTTCTACCGTATTGGAAGGTTCATGCAAAAAGTAGGTAAGACTAGAAAAAGTGGCCGTAAGTATGTAAGACTAGAAAAAGTGCCCGGGTGTTGCCGCGGGTCTTTAAAATATTTTGGAAAAATATCAATATAGAAAACAGAGATCTCTTATGCTATGAGTTTCAAAACTGTATAGAACACATAAGATTAGTAAATGTGTGTGTGTAGTAGCGATACTATTTACATACATGTGGAATGTAGGAAGGAAATTAGTCCTTTTGTTCTGAATCAAGATCACTAATTCCAAAATATAATTTCAAGAACCATTTCCCTACAGTTGAACATCAAGAAGACCACTAATTCTGAAATACAGATTAAATCTCTCCATGTTAAAAAGCATGTAAGCAGAGAGACAAGGGATGTGGTTTCTATTACCAGTATGATTAGCTTGTAAAGACTTGTCCGCTGCGTTCTGAATATTGGTCTCCACTGTAACCACCTTGAGAACTTTTCTGTAGATAATTCCACTATAAAAAAATCCATTTTAGAATGCATTTCTATTCATAACACGTTTAATACTTTTTAGTGGACCATGATCGGGATTTTAATGTTGTATGTCAATATATAAAATAGAACAAAGCCACTAACAATCTCAAAATATCATATAATTGATAGCGGTATGTACTTTTGGTAGATAATTTGTAATCAGATTGTAAAATATTGGGATGTCTAGTTCCCGCAGGAGTGTGTTATCCTTAGCAGAGAGGATACTTTTTGATATTTCGTAATTGCCCAGATGAAATCATGGCTAATGCCTCACACATCTGTCATAAAAAAAAATCTTAAACACAAAGATTCATCATTATAGCCTAAATTAAGATCGCATTATCATATCAGAACAGACAAAGGTACTCAAACTCAAGTGTCTCACATGCTGACATCCAACAAACCAATCAAAAAAATTTCTCTAGTGAAAGAATAAAACTGAATTTAAAAAAATAAAACAGAGAGAACTATCATAGAAAGCAGAAAGTGACTTACACGTTAGTTATGAAATGTTCGGCCTTAGTGGAATGTTATCTAGTTTTCTACCTTAGTGGAATGTTAGCCAGTTTTGCACTTAGCTAGTTTTCTACCTTAGTGGAAGGTTAGCTAGTCTTCCACTAGCTAGTTTTCTACCGTAATGCAAATGGTAAATTGGCTAGTTTTCTACTCTCACAATTATTACTCTTGCAAATTGCGATGCATCTGTGACGTAGCCTCTTTGTTTTTCATTTTTTATGAAAGTATAATATTCATTAAGGAGACGAGAAAATGTACAAGAGGTTAGAAGGTTTAAAAGAGTGACCCCTGAAAAAAACTGATTCACTTTAAAGTTAAGCAGTAAAAAAAAGAGTTTGGTAAACGTATAATATGCTGCTTATTTTAAAAGTAATAGCTTCCAGACAACAACTTTTAAAAGTAGCTTGTAGGTTTCTTTTAAAAGCTATTTTAATAAAATGCAGAGTTAAGCCTTTAATACATATTTCAATTGTTGTAATATCTTCATTAATACTTTTAAAATGACATTATTTGCCTCCACACATATTTTATCCCTTAGAGAATAATGTGACCGTTATGACCTACCATTACAAACACTAACCTTACACTATAAACATCATTACCACCACCATAACCATAACCGCCACAGCTACCACTGCCGCCACAACCATAACCGGTACAACCGCCATTGTCACTACCATCATTGTTGCCGCCGCCGCCGCCGCCGCCACCACCACAACTGCAACCGTCACCACTAGCACTACCACCATCCCTAGCAACATTGTTACCTCTACACCCCAACCACCACATCCCACTATTAGCACCACCACCATACCTCCACTATAACCACCATTGCCACCACAAATCACAACTGCCACCACCGCCATTAGCACCATTATTACCTCTAGACCCCAATCACCATATCCTGCTATTAACACCACCACCATTCCTACTGCTTTTCTTACATCACTTTTAAAACATGGTTAACCAAATGCTCATTTGTTTTATTTTACAGCTGATTATTCTTAAACCACAACATAAACATTTTTTTTAAAAGCACAGCAATCTCAAACTGGCCCTTAGTCTCACACACAATCCTGTTTAATTATGTCCCTTGTTTACGTTTAATTTATTTAATTTTGTTGTTATAATAATAAAAAAATGAGTGAGAAGCTAATAAGAGAGTGAAAATCACTTCCGTAATTGATATTGTTGATTTGTTACTGGAATAGTGCTATTTGATGACATTACTTTAGTCTAAAGTAGGATCTCCAATTGCACTGTTCAAGTGAAAATCATATCGGAACAGACAAAGGTACTCAAACTCGGAGATGGATTGTCTGCCCTCCCCTTTCCATACCCTCCTCATACTCTCTTGTTTTGTGCGGTTACAGTTAAGTCACGTCAACATTTGCTTTTTGTCTTATTATTTTTATATAAAAATTAATATAAAATGTTGACGTGGCTTAACCGTGACTGCACAAAATAGGAGGGCATGGGGAGGATATGGGAAGGGGAGGGCAGACAATCCATCTCCCTCAAACTCAAGTGTCGCACATGCTGACATCCAACAAACCAATCAAAACAAAAGATGCATAAAAGGGTCTCGAGTTTTGCCAAATACCAATGAATATGCTTTACCCAAATGAAGGAATAGACTTACCATCATAGGAAACTCATGCCTCCTCTCTACGAAGCTTTGCTGGCTCTCTGTGTTTTCTCACCTGCAATTTAGACCCAATGCGCAGAGGCATTTCACCCATGAAATTCTAAATCAGAAACATCTAAAAATAGAGAACAAAGAACCGAGAAAATAGTGTGTGCGGGCATGCGTGTTTCTCGGGTATATTTCATCAAACAGGTGATAGGCCCTGAACAAAAAAATGCATATGAATGTAAATGTTGTTTGTAAACTCAAATGGAACGCGTAAAATTACACTATAACATGGTTTGGCAATTTCATTTCATTTAACTGATTTCAAATTCAATAATCAGAACATAAAAGAAGAAATACGAAAAATTACAGTTAGAAGTCACATCAGTTAAAAGAGTTGAAAAATAAGCAAGCTTGCTTAGGGAACTATATTTAAAATTTTCTCTCAGTGAGGTTTAAATAATCAGGCATTTAGAAAATAATTATTCCAAAAATTTCAACAAACGTAATTAATTTGGTGATTAGCAATAGTATGCACTGATACAAACAAAAACTTGAATTCCAATCTCATGATGATTAATCTAAATCTAATGCGTAGTTTTCAATTAAAAAAAATCTAGTAAGTAATTACAAATCATACAAACAAAAATATTGGATCGTGATTTATACTGCAAAATTTGATCAAAATAAGATGATTATTAATCCAGCGGGTTTCTTCACTCCTATTACATAAGACAAAAATACCTACATCAATACTACGAAAGTTCTATTACTTTAGTCTAAAGAAGGCTTTTCAATTGCACTGTACCAATGAACAGTGTTTTGCATCACATTTCAGTTTATTTACAAGATTACCACTCGGATGCTTTTAACCACCTTTCATTTAATTTACAAAATTGCCACTCAGGCTTAAAAACCTATTTTCAGCCGTTGGCTGCATTTCACGTTTGACTCGGCGAGAGAGAGGGGAGGGGGACATCACGCCTGACAAATTGGAGAGAGACAATCGCTCCCATTTTTGACTCGGAGACAGCTGGGTGTGCCTCTGGCGAGCGGAGATAGGAGGATAGAGCGACTACAGAGGAGGGAGACACAGAGCCTGACAGATTGGATAGAGATGGGAGCTACGGGTTTGGACTGAGTGAGAAAGATATTTAGGTAGGTGCTCTGCCAAGCTCTCTCTGCCGCTAATCTTGATGCAAACGTGTTGATAATCATGGGAAGGGTAGAACGATGGTAAAGCTGGCCTTTTCCATTTCCTTCTCAAACCCTCATTGCCTCTTCCGTCTCGCAGACTCTCGCAGACCCTATGAGAACGACAGTCTCGCCTCCATCCTATCCTCCAGTCGCCGCCGTCTCCCTTCTCGAGGTAGGGTGTTGTGCGTGTGCGGACACCATCAGTTGCTGGATTCATTAACCCCGGTTCTGAGGGATTTCAAAAGCTATTTTTCCGTTGAGGAAATCGCCATACCAGTGCACTCAAAGTAAGTCGCCATTCTCTCATCCTCTTCCTAGATTTCGTCTTTCGTGGCTGCAAGCCAAGTTTTGTATAGTTATCTATATGCATGTATGCTTGGTTAATCTTAATTTTCCATATCCAATATATTCAAATCATGTTATTAGTCAGATTACTATTTGTGATCTGTTGTTTCGAGATTGTCTAACCTTTAGGTTGATAACTGTTGCAGCATTGAAGCATCATATGCCGCACATCCTATTGCTGATGTCTTTATCAACTTTGCTTCATACAGAAGGTCAATGATTATTCTATGAGTAGTGTTTTGGAGTGCAAAGCTTATATGGTTGCACCTAACGATGAATGTATGTTGATATATCTGCAGTGATGCTGCTTCTTCCATGGCTGCTTTGAAGCAACCAACCATTAGAGTTGTGGCAATCATTGCTGAAGGTGTACCTGAGTCAGCTGAAGGTGTACCTGAGTCAGACACTAAGCAATTGATTGCATATGCACGGGCAACCAACAAGGTTACACGATTGATGCAAAGTCATCTTAATTTCACTAACCTGGGAAAATGAACTGGCGATGCTAACTTTAATTATCGTATCTTTTGCAGGTTGTCATTGGCTCAGCTACTGTTGGAGGAATTCAAGCTGGTGCTTTTAAGATTGGTGACACTGCTGAAACAATTAATAACTTTATTCCTGTATTTTCTGGATAATTCTTTTATCCCCTTTCTTCTGCGTTTAATTTGCTTAGGAAAATTTGTTTTGGAACTAAAAGTGTATGTCTCGTAATGTGATTAAACTCTGTTAACAAGGATTTTGATCTCTAGATTTTTCATGGTGGAATTCTTATGGTGATAATTTTCTGCCGATGTCTTTGTTTTTGTACTTCTCTCAATTGTATGTAAATTCAATGAATTGTGAAATTTTTGGTGTGGTGTATTCAATGAATTGGCCAAACGGATTGATAATTAACAATAGTAATAGTTGCTTTCACTTTGCAACACTTATGGTGAAGCTGTAGATACCAGTGTTATATCTGAAGTCTATGCCCTTCGGATTGCAGTCGAGAGGCAGAGAATTTCTCTAAACAATGTTGGTCGCCTTCCCATTAATAAAATAAGGGATCCAAACTTAAATCGTGCTGAGATTTCTGATCTTCCAGTTGAGGACAAGTCACATACTCTGCTGGTAGAGGCCCTTCGTGGCCAGACTAAGAAGTTCAATACCATAGTGGCAGTCCGGCCGATTTGAGGTGGGTAATACAAACTTTTATGTTAAGTTGATTCGTTTTGGTTTTTTGGGATGCTTAATTTCATCTGGAAACAAGGCTGAGCATCCAAAAGTTTCAAATTTATACCCATTATTCAATACTAGCTCAGTAATCATCATGTTTTCTCTGACTTTGTTTGTGAATGCTGATATATAATCATATTTTAAGAGTTTTCTATTGGGGAAACGTTAGGAGCCGATTGTCCCACTTCGAAAAAACAGCAGCAGTGGGTCCTCTTTAAAATTAATCTAATTGAAGAGACTAAGGACTGGGCACCTTCTACAAACTGCAGTACTACTACTCATGCAAGGTCTATTTCATTTCCTCTTTTGCTCTCTAAATCTTCATAACTTGCTTTTAGGTGCATTTTTGTTTGATTCTTATTTAAAATGAATCTAATTGAATATTCATAATCAAAAGAATTAATTTTTCTAATTGCCCAATTTTGCAGGTTTTGTATTCAAGTCTATGTCATTGCTTTATCTAAGGCAGTTGAAATGTGCATACAATATCTTAGTTTTTGTTTTTTCTTCTTTGGCTGCTTAGAGATTATGGGTCACCAGCCTGGTTTTTAATGGTATAGCAAAAGTTTGCATCTTTTTGTAAGCTGTGAAATAAATATCAGATTATCTTTGGCTGCTGCACGCCTATTGCAGAAAACACCACGAGTATTTTCCAGATCTTTCATCAGTAACTCCATGAAATAATCTTTCGGCACCCCTCCATGGCATAGAAGGGCAATTAAATTCCTCGAAAATTTTGTATTCCTAGGCTTTGTACTGAAAAATGAAAACGTCAACTTAAAAACTACGTCTTCATTTATTTGCTCTGCATCTTAAATTCTCAACTGTAGGGGGAGCAATATAAATTAGGCAAACATACATTCTACATAATGGGTGTACCTTACTCCAACTATCTCCAACGAATTCACTGTTTGACCATCCAGCATCTGTCTATTTGTCTCAACATTGGACATGGAATGCTGTCAGACTAAGAGAAATGCCCTGCCCATCGGGGCAATCCATCTCTCGACATTCCAGTTGCGTTTCCCAGAAAACATTGAGGATTCAATTGGTTCACAGTCATCTGCTTCCCTCCACAGATCTTCTTCACAGCATAACATCTGCCTTCGTCTCACTCTCACTACTCAGGTATTTCACTGATTTGGGGTTTTACGCAATTACAAATTTAAGTCCATTCATGTGTTGATCTCGGTTTATTTCTGTCACTCTCTATCTGACTTGAAAATAAAAACCCTAAGTTTAGATTGTTCTCTGAATCCAGATTGATTTCATTCACGACAATTCTTAACAAATTTCCCCAATATGACATTTTCCCTTATTATTTTCATACATTTTATGGTTCTAATCAGTCTTTTTCGACCTTTATCACTCCCTATACAATTGTGAATAAGTAAGTTCCATGTCTGCAAAACTCTAATTACTCTGATCTAATTATCTTTCAGGAACCTAATCATCTTTCAGGAACCTAATCCCTGAACTTATTAAATTCGTTAGAGAGGTGATTTTGGATTGAATCCCAAAGTTCCCTTCCTATTTCTAAGGTTGCTGTTTTGTGCACATTTTGGGTGGTGGGTGTTGTGAATCATCACATTTTATTAAAGGTATTTGATCTGGGTAATTCTAAACCCATGTTTGGTAGTGCGAAAATGGTCTTGATTTTTTCTGCAGCTTACTACAGTTGTGGAAGTTGTGGTTTTGGGATAGTATAGGTTGAGTTCAAAACATCCTTGAGAAATAAGGGTTGGCACAGATGGGTAGGCCATTGGTTTTTGAGATCTTGGACAAACCAGCCACAAGTTGTTTCATAGGAATATGCAGTGCAATTTGGTTCTACATACAGAAGAAAAACATTGGCTATTCACTTGTGGCCTTGCGTTATGAAACTGCGGTTGCAGGGCACCATTGGAGGATTATAACTTCAGCTTTCTCTCATATAAGCATGAAAGCCGTGTCGAAGCTGGTAAAAAACGATTCCTCAGTGCATCAGGTAACTTCTATATGGTTTTCCCAAAATTAGATCACTTCTAATTCCGATCTGTGTTCTTCAATCATGTTGTCTTCGTCTGTTTTTAATTTTTGGGGCAGGTTCTTGACTATTTTCAGGGTATGTGGCTGTGAGCCCACATCAGAGGCCGGTTCGACATTCCGTTGTTTGTGAGGTTGCCACGAAGAAGCCTGACTCTGCCGTGAAGAGAGATCGGCAGGCCGAAAAGAGGAGGATTTACAACAAATCCCAGAAATCTGAAATCAAAACCCGGATGAAGTAGGTACTTCTCTTATCGTTCTTCTTCACTTTCAAGAAGCACCGGTGTTTATTGAAAGTATATAATCCGTTTAGACATTTAGTTTTTGACGTATCAAGTATTTTGCGTTGTTAGTTTTCTGTTACTTTTGTTGCTGCCTGCCTTTTTTTTTCTATTTTTTCGTTTTTATCCTCTTCTCTTTCACTTTTGTGCAACCCATTGTCCTCAGTTTATAATCTTTCGTTGGATAATTTGATCGCCTAATGTATTCTCAAGCAATATCTTTGGTTTTAAACTGTTGTAACCAGTTTAATCTTTAAACTGTTCACTTTTAATCTTTAAACTATTCAATGTTAACCCCAACATTTTACTTTCATTCTTTACACATTGGAACCAAATTTAATTGGTGCTAAAAACGTATAGAGCCTTTAACTATACCATGAATGCAATGTTAGCCAATAAAAAATTATAAAAGTAACTTTGTCATGGGCTATAATCATATACAACATCGTTCCATGATTATTACCAACCTTTAAAATCAAATTTAGCATCAGTATGTTTTACCTATCTGTTTCAATCTCAACCACTAGCAGCTACAATTTTGTATTAATCACCGTTATCGATTGTTCTTAACATATGATCATCAGATCCCAATATGTCGACTGTCGTTTTCCCTACCTTATTGTATGTGAAACAATTATATTTGCACTCACTTTTATTCATTGGAAACAGTATTTGTCTCTCCGTATCCAATCCTTGGTGCAAAATGTTTACAATTTGAATCTGATTCAGCGTCCTACAGCCAAATTGTAATCAATCTGAAAGAACTGCGTCTGTTCGCGGTCTTCAAGGTATAACATTGATCACTATCAACTTTAAATTTCTTTTTCAACATTTTTTCCTTTTGCATTTCTTTAAAAAAAACCTTTATTCAATATATACTGATATGGTCACTTATAGCATAAAAAAACTTCATCTTTTTTGTCAATATTTAAGTTTTTCTTATTTTTCTTCGTGAACCAGGTTAGCCCATAACTCTGTAACCATCCACGTATAGAACTTATCCATTTTTATCATTGTGGTATCAATACAAATTTTCTCTTATTTTTTGAGGTGGGATTGGTCTTAAAATACAAGAACCAGAATTTAATTGATCCCATTGTTCTGTACACAAAAATTCCATCGACCCAAAAACCTCATGTGGAAAACAAATGTATTTGCCTTTTTTTTTCTGCTTCTCCTTAGTTTTTACGTATTATTTCATTTTTTTCCTCATCATTCTCTCTTTCATGATTAGGTTTAACGCACAGTTTTTAAACCTCTTAAACCCTGTGTGTTTTGCTTCATTATTTAACATTCATTTGGATTTGTGATTGATATCAACTTGGTCACGTTTTCATACTTGCAAAGCATCTTTAGAGTAATGCCTTTAAACTGTGTCAATTTTTCAATGAAAAACCTTGAGAACCTTATTCAGTATTTGGCGATTAGATGAAACATCAACATAATTTCCCTCGCTTTGACCGATTCTCTGTGATTAAAGTCTGGAAAAATACAGTGAAAAAGGTGCAGCTTTTTTATGGGATTGACAATTTTCGGCTTAGTTTTGGCTAAAAAAGAATTAGCGTGTTACTTATTAAGTTGAGTTAACAAATTTGCAGGGTACAACAGAGCACATAGGACAAGTTTTCAAACGAGTTAAGATCCAGCTGAAAAGAGCATACAAGATAGAGAACTGGTATGCTGCTTTGTCTTTGTGTTGGATTTTTATGTTTAGGTTCTGCTGCTCAGTAGACTTTATAGTGTTCTAAATCTGTTTTGTAAATGTGCTAAAAGATTGGACATGTTATTGAATATTAGCCATGTAGTTTGAATTGGATATGTGATTGAATGTTAGGTATTTAGTTTGAATTGATTTGGATATGTGGTTTATTGAATTGGAATTTGGTTATGTGCTAATTTGAATTGGATATGTTGAATTAGAGATGTGCTACTTTGAATTGGATAGGTTGAATTGAAGTGTGCTATATTGATATATGATGAACTGATGGTTACAGAACACACACGCACACACTCACCAGTCATCACATACTCTGGGGATGCATAACCATAGGTTCCCACGACTCGCGTCGAAACATGAGTTTTATCACCCTTCGCAAGTTTGAAATCCGAAAGCTTGCCATTGTAATCCTAAAATAACTCATTCATTTAACACATGAAAATTATGCATTTTCATAATTAAAGTTTTAAATTGTCATCATTCTGGTCAAATGCACCATTTCCGTTTTGTTTCCCTTCTCTCATCTTGCAAGCACTCATGGTGTCTATTTCCTTTTAATTTCGGTTAATGTAGGTTTTGAAATTTGTGATGATCATTTTCATATTTCTATAAATTTTGAGAGAAAAAAGCATGTGAAAAAGACACCTAAAAGCAGCTAAGTAAACAGTTTAATCAAGAAGCAATTCAGAAGTAGAACCAAATAAGCCACAGTCCAACTTTTGCACACCCTCCGACGTAATTTAATATCAGAAACCGTCTCCTGAATTCAAGTTTTCCTAGAGCTTCTAATTGTGTGTGCCCATAGTGTCTTTCTTGGTCTACAACCAAGGACTGATTAGTGAGAGCAATATCAGAAACCGTCTCCTGAATTCAAGTTTGCCTAGAGCTTCTAATTGTGTGTGCCCATCGTGTCTTTCTTAGTCTACAACCAAGGACTGATTAGTGAGAGCTTCAAAAATAGATAGTTATCATAAACAAACAATTGATCACAATGATAATTTGGGTTTATAGTGCTTCTAAATGCTGTTTTAATTGAGTTTTCTGTGTTTGGTCGATTTGTTGTTGCGGATGGGTGATACGTTTTTTTCTTTCAGTTAAGAAACGATGCCTTTCAGAATTTGTAATTTTTTGTTGGGGTTTTTTCAAGCTGCTGTGTTAAAGGTATATGATGTGTTTTTTTCTTTCGCTTTATTCTTGCTGATTTGGGATGGTTTTTACATTGTATTTTTGTTATGAGTTTGTTGTCCCATTTTTGTAATGGACTTGGAATGAAATGGGATTGGAGGGTGATAAAAATTTCTAGCTAGCTAGGGAAAGGTCAGAGTGTTCAGATTTTGCAGGTGGGATATTAGGGTGAGGGATATTAGGCCGTGCCTTTAGAAGGTCTCACTGCTTTTAAAGTTGAATGGTGCTAACTGAATATAATGCGTTCATTCTTCATTGTGCGTGAGCGTATGTGTATGCAGTATATGTGAGTGCATGCAGTGTCACTTGGGCCGTTGGCTTTTTGAGGTATGTTCATTTATAGAGATTTTGTAACTGTATTGTTGAATTTTTAATGTATTCTTGGATTTTAAAGGGGCACCATATTTTTGGGTTGTTGTACGATTCTAGGGAGATAAAGAGGGGATTGAGAGGTCATGCTAAGGAGAGTATATTACTTGAGAACTTTTTTGGAAACCATCTCTTTCTAATCAAAGACGTTCAGTTTCTTCCCACTCATTATACAATGTGTTTATATGCCAGCTCACTTGAATGTATATAAAAAAAATTGTTTGCTCATAATTGTGTTGAATTTATTCAACTTAAATGTGTTTTATTCATCCGATTACACCTGAAACAACATGTTCCCGCAGCAACGCGCGGGCATATTTTCTTGTAGTTCCTATGAAAAACCTGTATTTAACCAACCTACTCTTTTCAAATGGAATTTGGTGTCTGAAAAATGAGAAATTCAAAAACTTTGCTGCAGAAATTAAAAAACAAAAACCAAACACTTACTATGTATTATCACTTTAATTCTAATTGCCACTTCAAGCTCCCTAGCTTTTGACGCATCATGATCATACTCATAAAGCAACTAAATTTTTCAAATGGATTATGCCAAAAATTAGAGAATTGGATGACAAGTTTAGGTGCAATATATACTTGAGTTCCCACAAGGAAGATGGTATTTTAGAAGTTAGCAAATTGGACCCTAACGAAAGACTTCTTAGAGCTACTGCCAAAGTACCCAAGCAGGAGGGAATAGAACCAGAGAGCCGATTACCACCCAAATCTAACTCGGCTAGGTTGTTTAGTTGACAGAGTCCATACGGGATCTGTCCTCGCAGAACATTATCATTAAAATACAAAGCTTGGAGATTCTGTAGCCTTTGTATTAAAGTTGGAATTGCTCCACTCAACTGATTGTTTCCTATGTCTAATGTTATCAAGCTGCTCAAATTGGCAATATCAACGGGAATGTTGCCCCTGATGTTGGAAATGCTTAAATCAACAGTTAGGAGTGTCGTAGAGATATTCCCACGAGAAGCTGGAATCGTGGTGTTTAGTGGATTATCTGCCAACAATAATTCAGTCAAATTTCTAAGATTAAGCAAGCAAGATAGAATGCTTGCTGCTTGTGGAGTATAAGCATCAATCATCAGATTATTCGTGTACAAGCTAAGGTACTCGAGGTTTTTCAAGGAACAGAGTGTGATAGGAAGAAACCCGGTAAATGAGTTTACACTCATGTCTAGCTCCCTGAGCTTGGAAGCATTGGAGAGGTTAGGGAGTAGTTCGGCCACGAGGTTATTTCTGGCTACATAAACGATTTCTAGGTTTGGAACGTTAAGACCTATGTTTGCTGGGAGGCCACCTGATAGCTACAACAACAACAACAACAAAGCCTTTTCCCACTAAGTGGGGTCGGCTATATGAATCCTAGAACGCCATTGCGCTCGGTTTTGTGTCATGTCCTCCGTTAGATCCAAGTACTCAAGTCTTTTCTTAGGGTCTCTTCCAAAGTTTTCCTAGGTCTTCCTCTACCCCTTCGGCCCTGAACCTCTGTCCCGTAGTCACATTTTCGAACCGGAGCGTCAGTAGGCCTTCTTTGCACATCTCCAAACCACCGGAACCGATTTTCTCTCATATTTCCTTCAATTTTGGCTACTCCTACTTTACCTCGGATATCCTCATTCCCAATCTTATCCTTTCTCGTGTGCCCATACATCCCACGAAGCATCCTCATCTCCGCTACACCCATTTTGTGTACGTGTTGATGCTTCACCGCCCAACATTCTGTGCCATACAACATCGCTGGCCTTATTGCCGTCCTATAAAATTTTCCCTTAAGCTTCAGTGGCCTACAACGGTCACACAACACGCCGGATGCATTCTGACACTTCATCCATCCAGCTTGTATTCTATGGTTGAGATCTCCATCTAATTCTCCGTTCTCTTGCAAGATAGATCCTAGGTAGCGAAAACGGTCACTTTTTGTGATCTTCGCTAGATTGCTCCGGTCATTAGTGTGGATAAGTATATAAATGGATAGAGATAGGAAAGCAAACACAAGATGTACGTGGTTCACCCAGATTGGCTACGTCCACGGAATAGAGGAGTTTCTCATTAATTGTGAAGGGTTTACACAAGTACATAGGTTCAAGCTCTCCTTTAGTGAGTACAAGTGAATGATTTAGTACAAATGACATTAGGAAATATTGTGGGAGAATGATCTCGTAACCATGAAACTTCTAAGTACTGGAGTGTGGTATCGTCTTGACTTTCCTTATCTGTCTCATAGGTAGATGTGGCATCTTCTCTGGAAGTACTCTTCCTCCATCCACGGGTGGTATCTGTAACTGGTGGAGATGCACAAGGTAATGTATCAATGTCACTTGAAGCTTACTTGTAGTTTCAGGCTTGGTCAAGCGCGATACAAACCATGTAGTAGGAGTCCCCCAAGTCGCCGAGCTAGGGGATCTGCTGAAAGAGGTGACAGACAAGGTAAGCAATCAGAGCTCCGGCTGATTGTTCACATTCTCCCTATCTTGCAGGCAGCATGAAGGATAAAGAGAAGAAAAATGAGAAGAGATGATATGAGATACTTTTGCTTTTGAAGAAGTAACTTTCCACAGGCTTATTCTTGAACTGGGCTGGAGGGTTTTCTGGTGTCCTCCAGAGTATAAGGCTGACTGAAGAATTTGAGGGTCAAAACAAGTTCATCAAATCTAGAGTACGTTCGACCCTGCTGATATGGGATACTTTTGCTTTTGACAGAGTAATGGATGTATCGGCATGTGTGCTATTACGCTTGTCTCCACATGCTTCCTTGTATCCTTCTCACTTGCCCTATCTGTTCCTCAGGCAGATGCGGGATCTTCCCTGGAAGCATAAGATGTTGAAGATGAGTACTCGAGAGCAATGCCAGGTAAGTAATTAGGTAAGGGGTTCCAGGTAGTCAGTTCCTGGCTGGAAGCTTGATTCCAAGTGCTGACTGATTGCTCTCTTTCTCCTTGTCTTGCAGGTAAGAACAAGGCCAAAGGAAAAGACAGGGAAAAAGCATGATATGGGATACTCTTGCTTTTAACCCTGATGATATGAGATATTCTTGCTCTAGTATAGCTTGTTTACAGAGGTATTATCGGGGGGAAAGAAAGCTGAATATTTCGAAAGGCTTCGTTGGGAGTGCCCTCTCAGATAAGAGGAAGGGTTGAGCATTTTTGCAGGTCTGCCTGTCTGTTGGGGATGGAGGTCGACATATATAGGAGTCTCCCTAACATCAAGTAATAATGTTATTCATTTACCCTGCTTGGTCATAGCACGGTAGTGGGAGCTGCCAGCTTCACAAGTTTTAACTCTGTCAGAGCACTTTGAAAAAGTGGTCTGTGGTATCTGGAAAGCTGATGTTGCGTGTGAAGATTACAGACAAGCTTTATCCAAGGAGATCCAGCTCTTGAAGTTGGGAAAGTGGTGCCTCTTCGGTTTTCGAACAAGCAATCCTGTCGGGGATCTGGCTCTCGAGATTCGGAGAACGATGCCTCTTCGATTTTTGAGAAAGCAATCCTACTAGGGGTCTGGCTCTCGAGATTCGGAGAGCGGTGTCTTCGATTTTTGAGAAAGTAATCATGTTGGGAGTTTGGCTCTCGAGATTCGAAGGGCGGTGCCTCTTCGATTTTGGAGCAAGCAATCTTGTTGGGAGTGTTTTCTTGAATGTGAGTAAAGGTTGGGCATGTTTGCTAGTCTACCATGTTTGCTAGTCTACCTTGCCACGAAGCACATAGGTTGACACACAGGGACTTTCCAATTATCCAGCCGTGGTACTGTTCCTTTACCCTCTCTTCGATTTTTGAGAAAGTAATCATGTTGGGAATCTGGCTCTCGAGATTCGGAGGGCGGTGCCTCTTCGATTTTGGAGCAAGAAATCTTGTTGGGAGTGTTTTCTCGAATGTGAGTAAAGGTTGGGCATGTTTGCTAGTCTACCTTGCCACGAAGCACGGAGGTTGACACACCGGGACTTTCCAATTATCCAGCAGTGGTACTATTTCTTTACCCTTGTGGGTAATAATATGGTAGCTAGACCTTCAAAATTTATGTGTCTAAACTTTGTTAGCGTTGTTTCTTTGCTAATCTTTTACCCTTCTTGGTCAGAGCGATGTAGTGGGAGCTGCAAGCTTCACGTGTCTCAACTTTGTCAGAGAACTTTGGCAAAGTTATATGTGGTACCCATGAGCTACTGTTGTGTGTGGGAAATGGGTGATTGAACAGTACGATTCATGTGCTTTCTACTTCGCCAGAAATCTTCGACAGAATGCCCATAATTTCCGCAAAGCTGAGTGTGCGTGTGATAGGTGCTGACAGGGCTAGAAAAGTAGGTGCCTCTTCGATTTCTGAGATCGGCCCTCGTGGTCTCTGAGCAGCCCACCTTTTGAGAAAGCAAGCCTCTTCGATTTCTGAGATCGGCCTTCGTGGTCTTTGAGCAGCCCAGCTTTTGAGAAAGCACACGCCTCTTCGATTTCTAAGATCGACCCTCGTGGTCTCTGAGCAGCTCAGCTTTTGAGAAAGCAAACGCCTCTTCGATTTCTGAGCAGGCGCCTCTTCGATTTCTGAAGCTTCATCGAGTGCAGATTTATAGGGGTTGACATTAAGTTCCAAAGCACACTTGAATATCCACCAGTAGAAGCTCCATTCTTGCACTTCTAAGATCTTGATTTGTCCGACCTCTTCTCTCTTCAACACCTTTGAAAATGTATGGCCCCTCCGACCGTCGTTTTGACTTGAACCTTATTGAAGAGGAAGCCCCGCCTTCTCCAGACAACATATGGCGCCCATCATTCGTCTCCCCTACTGGTCCTCTTACCGTTGGGGATTCCGTGATGAAGAATGATATGACCGCTGCGGTAGTGGCCAGGAACCTTCTCACTCCCAAAGATAACAGACTACTTTCCAAACGGTCTGATGAGTTGGCTGTTAAGGATTCTCTGGCTCTTAGTGTTCAGTGTGCAGGTTCTGTGTCTAATATGGCCCAACGCCTATTTGCTCGAACCCGCCAAGTTGAATCATTGGCGGCTGAAGTGATGAGTCTCAAACAGGAGATTAGAGGGCTCAAGCATGAGAATAAACAGTTGCACCGACTCGCACATGACTATGCTACAAACATGAAGAGGAAGCTTGACCAGATGAAGGAATCTAATGGTCAGGTTTTACTTGATCATCAGAGATTTGTGGGTTTATTCCAAAGGCATTTATTGCCTTCGTCTTCTGGGGCTGTACCGCGTAGTGAAGCTCCAAATGATCAACCTCTGATGCCTCCTCCTTCTAGGGTTCTGTCCTTATCGTGGAGTTATTGAAGAGTTTGAATGGGATGGCCCCATAGAGATTATTACCGCCCAGTGCCAAAGTCTCTAACTGTGGAAGATCACCAATCTCATCCGGTATTGTACCTGTCACAATTTCAGCACATTTGCATTAACTTTATAACTTTAGTTTAACTAAAAACTAAAAACGAAATGATTGTAAAACGCCTCCAAATTTATTACCTTCTAAATTATTCTCGTAAAGAAAAATCTTGCTTAAGTAGGTCAAATTGCCAAGACTTTTGGGTATGCTTCCACAGAAATTGTTAGACGCTAATGCAAATTCACGAAGATCTTTGCATTCCCACAGTTTGGAGGGAATCAGACCGTTAAGCTGGTTTCGAGCCAAAGAAAATACTCGAATACTCGAAAGATGCTCACACGTATTGTCCGGAAGACTGCCACTCATGTTGTTTCCGTTCAGAGTTAATATGGTCAAAGAAGATATGTTGAGGACAGGTACAAGAGCAGAGCCTTTTAGGGCATTGTCCTGCACAAACAACTGCTCCAGCTAACCTAAACTGTCTATCTCGTTCGGAAGTTCTATAAAAATCAACCCGTATATTTTGTTAAAATCATGTATACATATATAGGAGTAACTTCTTAGTAAGAATCCGGTTGTACTGTAGCAAAAGTGAGAATATTATAATGACCATTGTAAAGTGGACAAGATCCCTGCTAAGAAGGGTCTCGTATGTATAGAGGTAACCAAAACCTAAGTCATATAGTATACCTTCGAACTTGTTGTTGTCAAGGTTTATGCCCTTCAACATTGTTAAGTTGCCTATTTCTCTGGGTATGCTACCTGTTAAATATGTTCATGCATGCCAACAAAAAGAAGGGTGAAATAAACACAAACGAGATGATTGTTATACATCTTTTATATATATATATATATATATATATATAGATGTTAAAATGTAATGACGAAGCAAGCAACATTAATTTATATTCCTAGGTTGGTAATGGTGGTACATACGTACCTGATAGTTGGTTCCCGCTCAGGTTAATTGTTTCGAGTGCAGATAAGTTGAAGATAGCAGTGGGTATGAAACCAGAGAAGCCATTACCGTGCAATTGGAAGGCTTGAAGTTTAGCGAAGGACCCAAACCATGAAGGAATGGTTCCGATGAAGTTGTTGTATCCAAAGTTAATCGTCTTCAACCGGCGCAAACGAGACAGTTCTTGGGGTAGGGGACCATGAAAACTATTATTCGTAAGGCCCAACTCAACGAGAAATGTGAGGTTGCCTAGATGCGGAGGAATAACCCCGGCAAGACCCATGTACGAGAGATTTAAGGCCGTGACTCTGTGGTGGCGAGCACCGCAGCTAACGCCAACCCAGTTGCAAATGTCGTTTGAAGGTCACTAGTGATGTGAGCTTTGAGAGCAAGAAGCGCTGACTGATCTGTGCTGAAATTGGTATGAGCTATTGCTAATGCACATGCAGTTAAGTAATTAGCCATAATCATCATATAAACATAACACAAGCAGTGTATCATCGACAACATTCTCGACAATAGGAAACGACTTCTCTCCATACACAGTATATATATACTCTTCTTAATTGTAGTAGTTTTCGTCTTTCAGTTTTAATTCGATGGAAAACTTGAACTCATTACATTCACATAAATATGGAAACAAGATGGTGTTACCAAGACATGTGCACGACTTAGGCTTGCCCGGCTTCTACGTCGAGACTTGCATTGCCCGGCTTCTACGTCAAAGTGAGGAGACTTAAGACTTCGAACGAAGACTTGTGATTTGGATTTTTTTACGTATCAAACACACCATTCATTTTTTGCTGATAGCTTAACTACAGGCCAATGTGAGATTAAAATCAAGTTTAAGAGATGTGGGTAAAAATAAGCCTTCACTTTTTGCTGATAGCTTAGCTAAGTGAGGGGGAATGGTGACTGCAGTGAGACCGATGTAAGTGAGATTCAAGGGCAACTTGGAAGTGAGACTAGAAGGTTGCAACTTGCAAGTGAGCAATCAATGGTAAGGATGTCATTTTCATTCGCCTTTACTTTTACTTTCGGTGAAACATCATGATGACCAAACATCATCATTGAAATTTAACATTATTGGTAATTTGTGCTGGACAGCTGCAGATGCCCAAATGTGGAATTGTAGTCTTCAGTTCACACTCGATCAAAACAAACAACATAGAATTGTGATCTCTACAATGCACTTAAAAAAGTATGTTAAAATTTCATGTTTTCTTGATAATTAAGGACCACTATTTCGTTTTAGTTTTTATTTTTTCGCGTTTATGTTTTTTGAAAACTGGAAATTTGTTTTGTAACTACTTTTATTTCTTTTTAAATCAAAATTGAAAAATAAAGGCTAAACATTGAAAACTCAGGAAAGTAGTTACCAAAGAAGTTTGCAATTTTCAATTTTAATAAAAACTGAAAGAAAAAAAATTGAAAAAGAAATGGATATCAAATGGGCTGTAATTAAATGGTCACTGAAATTGAGTGTCTCAAATCAATGTGCGCCTTGCGTCATAATATTTTTCCATTTCAATCAAACCCAGCACGAGCAACGAACCAGAAAGCTACAATCTTGAAGCTTGAATCCCAATTTATTCATTTACTTCTTCTTCTTCTTCTTCTTCTTCTTCTTCTTTTTTTTTCTTTTTTTAAGTTTTTAATTATATAAAACTAAAAAATGTTTTCTATTATTTAAATATTTAAGGCCATGAATCAGTGGTGGCCACGACTTAGGGCTGGTTTGGTATTGATGTTCTTTGAAAAAAAACTGCTGTGAGAATAAGCGGCTGTGCTGTGAGAATAAGCGGCTGTGAAATAAATCAGATGAGTGTTTGGTAAACTTTTTTGTAAAAGTGCTTTTGAAAAAATAAGCAGTCTCATAGTGGGTCTTTTCATTAAAGAAGCACTGTAGCTCCGTGTGCTTTGAAAAAAAAACTAGTTTTCCAAAGCTACAAATAGCAGCTTCAGCTTTTTCCTTTGATTTCAGCTTATTCTCACAGCAGCTTCTAAAATAAGCCCTTTTTTTTCAGTTTACCAAACACCTAAAACCCTCACAGCTTTTTTTCATGGGTGCTTTTTTTTTAAGCACCTCACTCCCAAACTAGGTCTTAGACTTGCCCGGCTTCTACGTCGAAGTGAGGAGACTTGGACTAGTCCACTTGTGATATGGAATTTTTACATATAAAACACATCATTCATAAAGAAAACTAATGAAAATGACTTGAAAACTTTGAGTTTTAAAGATAATGACAAAATAAAGGGTAAAGTGAATAGTATCAAGTTTGACTTTTTAGTGTAAAAATATGGTTTTTCGTTAAAGTGAATAGTACCGCAGGCTTTTTGTTAAAACTCCCTTCATTTTTTGCTTATTGCTTAACTATAAGGACAAAATGAGATCAAAATCAAATTTAAAGAGGTGCAGCTAAAAATAAGCCTTCATTTTTTGCTGATAGCTTAGCTAGGTAAGGAAGGCCTGGTTTGGTATTGCTGTGCTTTAAAAAAAAGTTGCTGTGAGAATAAGCGGCTGTGAAATAAATCAGCTGAGTGTTTGGTAAACTTTTTTGTAAAAGTGCTTTTGAAAAAAAAAACAGTCTCATAGTGGATCTTTTCATTAAAGAAGCACTGTAGCTCCGTGTGCTTTGAAAAAAAAGCCAGTTTTCCAAAGCTACAAATAGCAGCTTCAGCTTTTTCCTTTGATTTCAGCTTATTCTCACAGCAGCTTCTAAAATAAGCCATTTTTTTTCAGTTTACCAAACACCTAAAACCCTCACAGCTTTTTTTCATGGATGCTTTTTTTTTAAGGAAAACTAATGAAAATGGCTTGAAAACTTTGAGTTTTAACGATAAGGACAAAATAAAGGGTAAAGTGAATAGTACCAGGATTGACTTTTTAGTGTAAAAATGTGGTTTTTCGTTAAAGTGAACAGTACCGGGAGCTTTTCGTTAAAGTTCCCTTTTTTTTAAGCACCTCACTCCCAAACTAGGTCTTAGACTTGCCCGGCTTCTACGTCGAAGTGAGGAGACTTGGACTAGTCCACTTGTGATATGGAATTTTTACATATAAAACACATCATTCATAAAGAAAACTAATAAAAATGACTTGAAAACTTTGAGTTTTAAAGATAATGACAAAATAAAGGGTAAAGTGAATAGTACCAAGTTTGACTTTTTAGTGTAAAAATATGGTTTTTCGTTAAAGTGAACAGTACCGCAGGCTTTTTGTTAAAACTCCCTTCATTTTTTGCTTATTGCTTAACTATAAGGACAAAATGAGATCAAAATCAAATTTAAAGAGGTGCAGCTAAAAATAAGCCTTCATTTTTTGCTGATAGCTTAGCTAGGTAAGGAAGAATGGTGATTGCAATGAGGCCGATGCAAGTGAGATTCAAGGCATGACTAGAAGGTGGCGTACACTATAAGTAACACCAACCCAGTTACAACATGGAAGTGAGCAATCAGCGGTAAGGATGTCATCTTCATTCACCTTTACTTTTGGTGAAACATCATCATGACCAAACATCATCATTGAAATTTAACAATATTGGTAATTTGTGCTGCACAGCTGGAGATGCCCAAATGTGGAATTGTAGTCTTCAGTTCACACTGGATCAAAACAAACAACATAGAATTGTAATCTCTACAATGCACTTAAAAAGTTTATTAAAATTTCTTATTTTCTTCGTAATTAAGGAGCCGTTTGATAATCATATTGTTTTTAGCTTTTTCTTTCGGCTTTCATTTTTTTTGAAAACTGAAAATTTGTTTTCTAACTACTTTCAGTTTTCAAGAAAATGAAAACTGAAAACTAAAGGTTAAATTTTGAAAACTCAAGAAAGTAGTTATCAATGAAGTTTACAATTTTCAATTTTAATAAAAAGTGACAAAAAATGAAAAATGAAAATAAAATGGTTAGCAAACGGCCTGTAATTAGTATAAACATGGTAGTCACTAATACTACGGTCTAATGACATTCCTCTCTACTTGACAAATTTGATATCTAATATTATGGCAACAAACACACGTTCAAGGCAGATTCTCATGTTCTGAAACATACTTGTCAACCTCAGGACCAACCTGGACATTGTTTTCCAGCATGAGCCTCTTGTTCCCAACCAAAACCATTTTGTCACCAACGCTTCCACTAACGCTACCTCCTGTGTGCACCCCAAAGTCCTTGGTCTCCATCACATGTTTAGTTGATCCAAACATTTCTACTAGTTGGAGAAGAGTCCCTGTTGGAGCTGCTTTGCATGTTTCGTAAGATTCTAAGTTTTAAGGTTCTGACTGAAATTTTGTTCATTGTCCAAACTGATAATTAGGGTTTCTTAGACATTCGCTTGATTTCAAATGTATCTATTCTACCAAGTTCACATACTAAATATCTTATTGCAGCTGCTTAGAAATGAAGGATGGTGATAACTGATAACCCGGCATCCTATCTTTGTAGCAACAGGTACGGGGCCTGTTGATAAATAATGCTTCCTTAGGTTGTTGCTTTGTTGGTACTTATTTTGAACTTAGTTTAGAAATTTTATCTTGTATAATTCAAGCTTTTAAGTTAGGTAGGACTAGCCCATGCAGCTGTGCCTGGCACGGCAGGTCGTGCAGGGTCTCTAGGTTTAACATGGGCTTGAAACTGGCTAATATGAGCTTTTTTAGTATTACAGATATTAGGTATTATTGATCAGTTTTTTTTATTTCTTTTAATATTTTATAATTCATTCTGAGATATATCTTTAGTTTTAATTGGGTTGTCTTGCCAAGATAATAAAGAAGAAACATATGACATGTTGATCAATAATCATTTTCCGTTTTATTGAAATTTGGAATACAATTGATAATTTGATATTACTAAACAACAAATATAGAATTGCATCATTATCGTATATCAGTGTCGTATTACTTTAGATTGCCACGAGGATCATTGGGTGCCTAATGCATCCTGCCTCCACCACTAATGATGTCACACCACTTGGAGGGGACACTCCACCACCTTCCTCGCCTTCGTCTAGACAGAACTTCAATATCTAAATTCTTCACAAGTCTCCAAATTCTTGTACTATGCGACTAATTGTAGCTAGCCAAGTGGCCTAAATGTTAATTCAACTAGCCATCATTTTTTACAATTCTAGCTAACTAATTTAGCTTAAATTCAAATATTCCAAAATTATTTTTTATTAATTTAACAACTCAGACCCTTTCACTAAAAAAAAAAAAAAACAACTCAAACCCTTTTTCTTTGCTTGGAGCCCACAAACAATCATGGTATGAAATATCGATATTATCGGCGAAATATCGCCGATAATATCGTTTTTTTGAGAGGGGGATATTTTTACACTAATACACTTAATTATCGTCATAATATCGCGATACTATCGATATTATCGATAATATCGCGATATTACCGACAATATTGATAATATCGCCAAGGCTCCGTCGTCGGCGTCGCAACTGCAGCCGAGGCTCCGTCGTCGCAGCTGCCAAGATCTGCGCCTCTCTCTGCAATCCACGCTCAGATGCTCAGACCCATCAAAATGAGCGATCCACACTCAGACCCATCAAGATCTGCGCCTCCCCTTTCCTGATGGTGCTCGCCGGGAGGTGAGAAAGGGAGGAGGAACGGTCCACAGGTGGTGATGGTGCTCGCCGGAGTGTGCACCACTGTGGTGGAAGTCACGGTGGGGTGTGATAAAGGGCACTGGGCTTGAGGTTGGAGAGATAAGAGCATTTTCGGAGATTACAAAGAGAGAAGGTTGAGAACCTCTCTATTATTTTAGAGAGAGACAGAGTGGTTGAAGGTTTGAATGAGCAATAGACATGGGGACTTGTTATGGGGACTTCTTCACGGTATGGTTGAAATGATGGTTTGATGAGAGGTAGAGAGCCTTTCTCCTTTTTCTAAAAAGCTGTACAGTTTTGGTTTCTACAAAACAATAAAAAAAAAGCAAACAACCGTTGGCTTGGCTCTGGACTCGAGGAAGAAGGATGCAGAGCATCCCATGTGAATTCATATCAAAACCACAGCTAGGGTTGTGCACGTGTGTGGCATGAGTGTGCAGCAAGTGGGCTTACTTTGTTAGTCAAACTTTACAAGCCCAAACAACTTCTCTAAATTCAAAGTACCAAGTCGTTGTTAGTTTAGTGATGTTTTGTTTGTTTGATCTTGCTTTGTCCCTTTGTATACATGCGTGTCATACATATACACAACAATACGATACATGTAGAATTATACTTTGAAAATTTGCATTATATATAAATAATTATGGTGTGTTTAAACTTCTTTAATTAATTACTACATATTTTCTACCCTCACAATGTTTGCCAGCTCGTTATATAATCAACTTAAATCAGTTAAATCCATCATGCAATGCATTTCCTTCCAATTTTTTGTGATAAACTAATAGATAATTGACTAAATAAACATCCTGCAAAGTTTCAATAAAAATTTCCAAGTTTTTCTTACAATTTCCATGGTTTCCATATAATTTTTATCGATATCGATATTATCCCGATATTTCCATCGATATTTCCGTGTTTTCGGACTACCGATATTTCCGATATTACCGATATTTAATACCTTGCAAACAATGCAATTTATAGCCCTTAATGTTTATCAGAAGTTTAACTTTCTCTCTCTCCTAACTATTCAATTAGGAATTTGAGAGATTTTAATGAATTTTTATGAATTTTAAATGATTAGTAGAGATTCCATATAAAATTTTGATTCAATTCCCTCAAAATCTCATGGGGAGATGTGAGATTTGTGGATGTTTAAAATACACTACGAAATCTCTTCAATTCCCTCTAATTCCTTAACTTTTTCAAATTCATTAAAATTAATTTCTAATTGAATACACATGGAATGTTATAAATTTCTTTAAAATCCTAGTTGAATACACTAAATTTCTAAGGAAAGAATCACTTAAAATCCTAATTCAATACTCCTATATTTTTTTTAAAGAATTAAAATCTCTCAAAATCCCAATACACCCTCCTAAATTTAGCTAGTTACTATTGTCTATATTGGAAAGGCCTCTAACAAGATTGCTAATTTGCAACCGTATGCAATAATCATTGAACCTATTACCAGTTAGTAACAATAATGGTAACCAAAAAACTGTTTGCTTTGGTTAAGATCTATGTTGCACGGATATCCGGGTGGGGGTATCCGGTACGATACAGTACGCCCATACGGCAAATTTCTAAAAACAAGGATACAATACTGCAAGGATACGACAATTGAAATAAATATATATTGTAAAATATATTTCTAAAATATATTTCATAGGCTCATGTTTCATTATATACACTGTTCTAAAAATCCCCGCCTAGCGCCGTCTAGGCCCTAGGCCCTAACCCACCGCCCCGATTAATGCCTAGGCCCCAGCCCACCGCCTAGACTACCTAGGCACCCGCCTAGCCCGCCTAGGCACCCGCCTAGACCCGCCTAGGTTGCAACTCACTTAGACAGAAAATACATAACTTTCATTTTGCATTTTGTTTTTTTCCAGTAAGAGACTTGTTGCATACTTGAATGAACAAACATTATATCCTTATTTCACATGTTTTCATTATGTTCCAATACTTCATGATATATATGCATTCTACTTTGTAGTTTATGATAAAATTATATATATTTCAAGTAGAAGCAGACACTTATTTACTTGAAATATGATAGATTTACTTAAATCAGCCTAGTCCGCCTAGGCTCCCGCCTAGCCGCCTAGGCGCTAGGCTCCAGCCCGCCGCCCGACTAGCGCCTAGCGACTTTTAGAACCTTGATTATATATAAGTTAAAATTCATGTTTGTCGTTTAACATTAACAAAATTAAACACTGCTCGGTCTTTTTGGTTCTGGAGAATGGTTCCCGCCTCTCCCAGGACCGAAATGATTATCCTTGCCCGATGGGTCTACATCCATCTCCAAATGTCCTAGTGAGTTTACCAACCTCACAAGAACAACCCAAATTCCTAACTTAATTCAAGAGCAATATCTCAGGAGTATCTTGACCGTATCCTTCCTTGGAGTATCTGAGTAGTATCCTAAAGTCAACAATACTCCAAATGGAGTATCCAATATGTATCAGAAGGTATCGTGGGGTACAGGTATCCGATACCATCCGTTGTCCAAATTTGAAGTATCGGTGCAACTACAACATAGGTTAAGATATATTTTTCATGTGCACAAGTGTGTAGTGTTATTGAGTACTGATTCACTTGCTGCAGGATGTGGTAAGAGAACAGTTGTTAGATACATTTCTCGTCGATTGGGCCTGCATGTAGTTGAATGTCACAATCTAATGGCATCATCTGAAAAAAGGATGTCTGTTTCACTAGCTCAAACCTTGAATACAGCTCAAAGGTGAGGTAGCAAAGTGTTTAGATCTCGTAATATTTGCCAGTTACTTAGCTGTAGTACTGTCACATGTACTTGACAAGGCAGGCAGTCATATCCATTCTTTTTAAATGTCTATGTTACCAGTGTTATTGTTAATTTCTGTCTCAATAATTATCTATACATAATTTATTAAACTTTTATGAGAAACTAATCCATGCTATACTTTCCTTGTTTGTCCCTCTACCAAATTTCATTTTATGGGATCGTGGGAGAGATACCTCAGTTATATCCAGCAGTGTATCAATGTTATTGTAGATTATTTCCTTATATTGTTGTACCCTCTTCTTTTCACTTATGCCAAAATTGCTTTCAGATACTCGCCAGCAATACTTCTTCTCCGGCATTTTTATGTTTTCCGGAATTTGGGCTCTCACGAAGGTTCGCCAAGTGATCAAGTTGGAATAACTTCTGAAGTGGCTTCACTTATCAGGGAATTCACTGAGCCAATTTCTGATGATGGAGACATGGATTCCGAAGAAAAACATAATGGCGATATTGTAAGATGCAACTGTTTTAGTTCCACATATCTTGGTTTAGGGATACTTAGTTGAAGAATGAACATCTACTACTCTGTACCTCTTTATTTTGTGTGCGTGTCCATTGATCTATAATTGTATTGTTTATTATTTTAATCTTAGTAACCTAAATCATATTGGAGCATGAGCAGGATGCTGGGAAGATAGGAAGGCATCGGGTGCTGTTAATTGCAGCTGCTGACAGTTCTGATGGTCTGCCACCAACTATTAGACGCTGCTTTAGCCATGAAATAAGTATGGGTCCCTTGACCGAAGAACAAAGGGTGAAAATGGTGACACAGTCTCTGCAAACGGCTTCTGAACTCTTTTCTAATGTATTTGAGTAAATGTGTTATTCCAAAAAACTCAAGCCACTAGGATGATGTTGTGGAGTATTTTATATTCTTATAACTATGATTTACTCTTGTTTTTGTTGAAGTTGTTATAAGATCTGCTACATAAGGATGCCCCACATGGTATTCATTGTAATTTTTTTACCGGATCCTTGATAGCGTTTGGTTTCTGGGTTAGTTTCAATGGGAGTTCAAAGTTCAGTGAAATACACCGAAGAAGAAGGAGAGAAAATGTATCCAAGGATAATGTCAATTCTATTCACTCTATTGATCATGAAAACCTTTCCAGCATATATGACAGTTAGAGGAGTGAAAACAATTCCACTCACTCTATTACAAAGCAATCTCAACCATTCATTCTTAAGACATCATATAAGATGCTTACACTTGTCATGAGCTATGACTCATTACAATCTAATCTAAATACCAATTGGAATATGATCCAAAGGTTCACATTAAATCCTACACATTGCTTATAATGAAACTATCATAGCAAATACATTTATACTCCAATACTCCCTTCTAAATGTTTTGCTGATTTCACACCAAGAGCAGTTCTCAAGTATTCGAATCAATCCTTAGGAAGAGCCTTGGTAAAGATGTCTGCCAATTGCTCATATGTGCTGCAATAGTGTAGTTCAATTGTCCCATCTTGAATAACATCTCTTATGAAATGATACCTCCGATTAATATGCCTTGTTTTATGATGAAACACTGGATTCTTAGATATGGCTATGGCAGAAGTATTGTCACATAGCAAAGGTGTAGCCTCCACCTGTTCTTCTCCAAAATCAGATAAAACAAACCTCAACCAAATTGCTTGTGTTGTAGCTTCTGCAACACTTACATACTTAGCTTCTGCAGTAGATAAAGCCACACTGCATTGTTTAACAGAAGCCCAAGAAAACACTCCTGAACCTAAACTAAATGCATAGCCCGAGGTACTCTTTATGTCGTCTAAGCTTCTTGCCCAATCACTATCACAGTAGCCTATCAACACAGCAGCTTTTCCTTTCACATATTCAATCCCAAAATCCAATGTGCCTTGTATATATCTCAAGACTCTTTTAGCTGTCCCCATGTGTTTTCTGGTGGGTTTATTCATGAACCTTGCCAGCAAACATGATGCATACATTAGATCGGGTCTAGTAGCTGTCAGGTATAACAGACTACCAACCATTTTCTTGTACAAACTCTCATCAGCATCCTCACTCCTATCTTCCTTAGATAACTTGTCATCAATTGTAAGTGGGGTTTTCACAGCTTTACAATCTTTCAATCCAAATTTCTCAAGTAGTGACTTGGCATATTTCTTCTGATGAATAAATATACTCTTATCGGTTTGAATTATGCCCAGACCAAGAAAATGATGTAGCAGTCCCAGATCTGACATCTCATATTGCTTCATCATATCCTTCTTAAATTCTTGAATTATTTCATCAGAATTCCCTGTATAGATAATGTCATCTACATACAGAGATACAATAAGCACACCTACATCACTGAACTTCGTATACAGAGTAGCTTCACTTTGGCTTTTCTTAAAACCTGATCGATTGAAATAATTGTCTATCTCATCATACCAAGCTCTGTGAGCTTGTTTCAGACCGTATAAGGCCCTTTTCAACTTATAAACCTTGTCTTCTTGTCCTTGAACTTCAAATCCCTGTGGTTGATCCACATATACTTCCTCATGCAGTGTACCATTTAGGAATGCAGACTTAACATCTAATTGAAACAACTTCCATTCCTTTTGAGCTGCCAATGCAATTAGAGTCCTAATGGTATCGAGTCTTGCCACAGGTGCAAAGGTCTCGTTGAAGTCCACTCCTAGCATTTGAAAATAGCCCTTAGCCACTAGCCGTGCCTTGTTTTTCTGCACTGAACCATCCAGATTAAGCTTTGTTTTGTAGACCCATTTTACACCAATTACAGGTTTATCAAATGGCCTTTTTACCAACTCTCATGTGTCATTCTTTTCTATCATCTCAATCTTTGTGGACATAGCTTTTCTCCAAGCCTCATCTCCTGATGCTTCTTCAAAACATTCAGGTTCCATCACACAGAAATTGCACCTTTCATAGATATCATTCAAGCTTCTGAACCTTAGAGGAGTATGATCATACACTTGTGAAACAGTGTGATCCATTTGCTCTTCTTGTCTTGAAGAAGAAGCAATAACTTGCTCATGTTGCTCTTGTAGTAATTCTGTGCATTCAAATACTGCATCATTTTCAGCAGCTTCAACCTCATTCTCTTCTCTTTCATAAGCTTCACTTGGAATTGGGATGGACAGTGTCTTCTTATTACCAGATTTCCAATCCCAACGAGAGTTCTCATCAAAGATTACATCTCCAGAAATAACCATCTTGTTAGTTTTAAGATTGAACAACCTGTAACCCTTCTCACAGGTTCCATAGCCAAGGAATATGCACATTACACTTGTTGCATCCAGTTTCTGTCTCATCTGTGATGGAACTTGTGCATAACATAGGGATCCAAACACTCTTAAGTGTTTTACTCCAGGCTTTCTTCCACTGTAGGCTTCAAATTGAGTCTTCTTATGCAAGGCCTTGGTAGGACATCTATTGAAAATGTAGACTGCAGCGTTAGCTGCTTCTGCCCAAACTCAAATGGAATGCCTTTCTCCAACATCATGGATTTAGCCATTTCTACAATGGTCCTATTTCTTCTCTCAGCAACACCATTCTGTTGAGGAGAATAGGCCACTGTGAGTTGTCTTTCTAGACCAAGATCTTCACAGTACTGAGAAAATTCCAGGGAAGTGTACTCCCCTCCCCTGTCACTTCTTAATTTCTTCACTTTGAATCCACTTTGTAATTCAACAGTTGCCTTGAACCTTTTAAATATACCAAATGCTTCAGACTTGTTCCTCAGAAAATAGACCCATCCCATTCTGGTACAATCATCTGTGAAAGTGATGAAATACTTGTTTCCAGCTTTGGTAGGTGTTTGCATTGGTCCACATATATCAGTGTATATTAACTTCAATGGTAGTGCAGCTCTCCAGTTTGTTTCTTTAGGAAAAGCATCTCTAGAATGCTTTCCAATGGCACATCCCTCACATACTGTGGAGTTAATTCTGAGCTCGGGTAAACCAGTCACCATGTCATGCTCTTGGAGTTGTATTAGAGCGCTCATATTTAGATGCCCGAGTCTTCTATGCCATATCTCAGCTGCTTGTCTAACACTTGCCCTCATAGCAATTTGGATTCCTGGTTGCAACTTCAAAGGAAAGCTTCGATTTCCCTTCATATGAATTTTGACAACCAGATTAGAGCATGTAAAATCTTCATAAATTCTGACTTCAATCCCCCCAAACACAAGGTAATATCCATGCTCTATCATTTGTCCCACGCTTAATAAATTCTCCTTTAAACCAGGTACTAACATGATCTCATTGATGTACCTTTTGCCTTGCTTAGTTTCAATCAGTAACTCTCCTTTTCCAACCACATTGACCAAATGTCCTGTACTCATCTCAACTTTAGCAGTAACATTCATATCTATGTTCACCAGTAGATATTCTCTTCCTGTCATGTGATTACTGCAGCCACTATCAACATACCAAATATCTTCATTCTTCTTCACTGCAGCAGACATACACATATAGAACATAGTTGGATTGTTCTCTACTTGTTTGACATAATTGGCCTGTTGATTACCCTTTTTCGACCTGCAATCCTTGGCAAAATGCCCTGGCTTATCACAGTTATGGCACCTTGGTTTTCCCTTGAACCAGCACTCCCCAAAATGTAGTTTATCATAGTATTTGCAAGGATTCTTGGCTCCATCAAAGGATCCAGTGAATTTCCCTTGCTGATGCACATGTTTGTTATCCTACTTCTTTCCCTTAGTCTTCCAATTCTTTGTGGGTTTAAACTGTCGATTAGCATTATATATAGACTTCCTAGGAGCTATACTTAAACTGGAAAATGCTTTTTCATTATCATTTTCAGAGTGTCTCTCAATCCGTTGTTCATACCCCTTTAGAGTAGCAACAACGTCCTGCACATCAACAGTTTCTAAATCCCTAGTATTCTGTATCACAGCAACAATACTATCATAGGATTTAGGAAGACTTATCAATAATTTTTGCACAATTCTTTGATTTCCAATATCTTCACCATAACTTTTCATTTGTGTAATAAGATCAAATAATCGCACAAGGTACACAGAAAATGCTTCATGCTCACTCATTCGAGTATATTCAAAATCACGCCTTAAGCTTTGAAGTTTTACAGATCTCACCTGTTTGTCTCCAATAAATTCTTGCTTCAGTATATCCCAGGCCTTCTTTGCCGTCTCCAGTATGGCGATCCTTGGGAAAATTTCATCTGACACAGCTCCTTGAATAATCTCAAGAGCCTTAGCATCCTTGACTATGTTCTCCTTCAGATTCTTATACTCAGTTGCAGTGATCTCTTCTTCTATCTTCGCCGGAGGACTGTACCATTTCTCTACCATATCCCATAGATTGTGAGATCTGAAAATGGTTTTCATCTTGATCTGCTAGAAATCAAAATTTTCTCCATTGAAAATTGGTGCGTGGAGATCCGCACCACTCGACCCAGCCATATTAGACTTGTTATCGAATTACCCAGAAATTTTCAGAACTTTCTTCAGTCACAGTAGAACCCGATTCGTGGTCGAGTTCCTTCGCTTCCAACCACGTCACAGTTTCACGCCCAGCTCGAGATCGAACCTGGCTCTGAGGCCATGATAGCGTTTGGTTTCTGAGTTAGTTTCAATGGGAGTTCAAAGTTCAGTGAAATACATCGAAGAAGAAGGAGAGAAAATGTATCCAAGGATAATGTCAATTCTATTCACTCTATTGATCATGAAAACCTTTCCAGCATATATGACAA